CATGTGTATCTCCCTGGCATATTTTGTAGGAAATAAAAGATTATGCTCTATACCTTTAACTACGACACACCCCTAACACATAGGAACAACAGTAAGAAGAGTAGGTATTTAAGATATATATTTCAATTTAACATATAGAAGCACCAAATGTGAAGAAAGTTGACAAAATAACAGAAATGTGACAGTGAAATCTTTCATCACAGCCATGTTCATTTCATCACCGTCTTATTGTCATGGAAATAAGCTTTGTCATGAACGGTCTCATCTTGCATTTGTCTTGTAAGCTTTTGATAGATAACGCATTTATAAATAACATACAAGACAAGTTATTTTCTTCCAGTGATCAAAATCCATCTCCTCTGAGTGTTCCCATTGTTATTTAATGCTCCCGATGCAGTACCTTCTTATGAACTTGTCTAATAAGAAAGACATTATGTGGTAACACTTATATGATGATTTTTTTTTTTTTGTTACCCCCAAAATTACTCTTTTTATATTGTCATGTTGTTTTGGGGACATGTCTGTGCCATTCTCTGTCAGAAATAAACCAAATCTTATTTTAAACATTAGTAAAAGTTTGTAAGATGCAACAATAGAAAAGGCAGGATTTGACTTTCTCCTTTCGATCTCTTTGTTTCCTTCAGTGCTGATGGAACATATGAAGTTTCCTTCTACTCCAATGCTTTAGTTTCCAACAACGGAGATGTTGACTGGCTCCCACCTGCCATCTACAAATCTGCCTGTAAAATTGAAGTGCGGGATTTCCCTTTTGACCAGCAGAACTGCACCCTCAAGTTTCGTTCCTGGACGTATGACCACACAGAGATAGATCTCATCCTCCTCAGTGATTATGCCTCACGGGATGACTTCAAACCCAGTGGTGAGTGGGATATTGTTTCCCTACCAGGACGCAAGAATGAAGACCCAAATGATATCAGGTACCTGGACATCACCTATGATTTCATCATCAAGAGGAAACCTTTGTTCTACACCATCAACCTGATCATCCCCTGCATCCTCATCACCTCCTTGGCTATCCTGGTGTTTTACCTTCCATCAGACTGTGGTGAAAAGATGACTCTTTGCATCTCCGTACTCCTGGCCCTGACTGTGTTTTTACTTCTTATTTCAAAAATTGTGCCACCAACATCTTTAGCAGTGCCTCTGATTGGGAAGTACCTCATGTTTACAATGGTGCTGGTCACCTTCTCTATTGTCACAAGTGTTTGCGTGCTCAATGTCCACCACCGCTCCCCGAGCACACACACCATGCCACCTTGGGTCAAACGGGTTTTTCTGCACCGGCTTCCTTCTTTTCTCTTCATGAGGAGACCAGGGAACTCCAATATCCGCGAGAGGTTCAGGAAAAAATACCAGAGGCAGAAGTCCTCAGACCAGATCCCATGTGGAGCAGAGGGTGGGACAGGACAGGGGGTGGGAGTGGCCGATTCTTCCTCATCTTTCTTTGTTAACGAAGGGTCAGCCAAACGCTACGGCTGGCGAAGTAGTGACTTATCAGAGAACACAGACATTAGGAGGAGGATGACACTCAAGAGCAATATTGATATGGAAGAAGCAGTGGATGGTGTTCGCTACATTGCTGACAAAATGAAGAGTGAAGATGATGATGAGGGAGTAAGTATTTGGAGGAAGTGTTAAAACTGTTTTTTATTGTAAAAGCACAATACAATGTAGTGCAAAGATAGTAAGTGAAAGTTTGACGCAATTTTGAATTAAAATCAACAAGAATACTTTGCATTTTAATTCAGCCCACTCAGTTGGTTATGCATTGAACTAGCTCTCAGTTCAATACCCAACTAGTTGTGTTTCCAGCTGTGTACATGCAGTGACTGAGTTCTTTGCAGAATCTGCTTTGTAAGAAAACTAAAGGTTAGACTGGATGGAAGTGTGCATAAACTACAGCAGGCATCCCCAAACTCGGTCCTCAAGGCCCCCTGTCCTGCAGGTTTTAGAGGTTTCACTGCTTCAGCACAGCTGGTTATAATGATTACACTAGACCAAAAGCCTGTTAATCAGCTTTCAATTAAAATCAGCTGTGCTGGAGCAAGAAAACCTCTAAACCTGCAGGACAGGGGGCATTGAGGACCGAGTTTGGGGATGCCTGAACTACAGTATTTGAACTTTTCCTTTTGGATTTAAATCTAGACTTTTAAAAGGACCATTTGTTGGTATGTGTAGGGTGGTCAAAAAACAAACACCTGCACCATTCTCAAGTATTTGCAACTTAAAACAGGGTTTTTCCTAGAATCTTACTGATTGATCAATGTTTGACCAGAGGGAACATTAATACAGACCCTTTAAACACCAGTAACTTCTTCTTACCTCTAAAGAACCAAATTTTGAGGTGACTGTGAATGATCATTATACTGACATCTAATTTCTTTCTCACTTAATATCCCAATATCCATATACCAAACTAAACAATTAAGAAAAGGATGATTGCATGCAGAAGTGGTTCTAAAACCTATTAATAAATCCAGAAGAAATTTTGTTCTGAACAAGTTTAAAACTGACAAAGGTTGACTCCAGGTGCAAAAGCAAATAAGCCAAGGGAGACGTTTTAGGTCACTTGCACTTTCAGTGAGATGCATTTCAAATCAACGGCGTCCCTCCCATCTGTTGGATACCTGCTGGTCTCTAAAAGGCAGCTTGATCAGCTATTCCCTCGAGGAAGGCATTTTTTGTTTTATCAACTAGGAAAAAAATCATCCAAACTATTTTGTTGAGGAAAAAACCTAAATGCTTGCTAAGATGTCCAAGATGGTTACTGTTGTATTTGAATAAGATCTAGCATGCTTCTGGTTCTAAGAACAACTTAGTGATTAGTCAGGTATATTTTTAGAAGTTCATAGAGTCATTATTAATAGTTGGTTGGGTTTTGATATTGGTCTGATATTAAAGCAAATATATTTTATATTATATGTTGTTTCTTAGTCTCAAGCATATGTTTTTATTAAAAAATATCATACACTGGAAAACTTTGAATTGAACAAAAAACTTGAAAAACCTATTGAAATAAAAACACCACTGAGATAAATATAGTGCCAGTTACAACTAAGATTTGACACATCACAGTCAAAAATCAGTTCTTCCAAAATGAGCAATCATAATATTTAAGATGATGAACAATTAATTGTCAATTCAAGATTGTGAATAAAGCAATGACATTTAACATCTTCTCTGATTTTCTGCAGATAATTGAAGACTGGAAATATGTGGCCATGGTGATTGACCGCCTCTTCCTGTGGATTTTTGTATGTGTGTGTGTGGTCGGCACTGCAGGACTTTTCATGCAGCCCCTTTTCCAGAGTTACAACACCCCAGTTGCTGAAGATACAGAGCATAAATGAAATCTGAAACTCCACCTTTAAGTTTTGAAATGACTCAGACAGAAAATTTACTTTACTGGAAAGAAACATTTCTCTGCAGATCCAGAATGACCATCACTTATAAAACCCTGACCTGTATACCCAAGTGCTCCCTCACCACCTGCTGATCTCTGATCTTCTGATTTGATCTTTCTTTGAACACTAAATACCAGCATGCCCACATCCCTTAATTTATAACCCAACATTTTGGAAAAGGTATTGATTAAAAATAAAATCCAAAAGCATACTGGGTGGGCTTCTCTTTTAATATTTTGCCACGTTAAAAGTTTAATGCATTATTTTTGGTAGAGATACACGAATCTGAAACCTGGATTTTTATGTCAAGACTATTGGCTTCACTCACATGGCAAGATATATCAATATTGAATATACTGATGAATATATCTTGAATATATCTCTGCCTTGGCACTGTATCTGGAAATAAAACGGATCAGTCCATTTCAACTTTCTGAGATTTTTTTGCAGTAGTCAGTCCTACAAGGTCGCTGTCTTCTGTGTTTCAAATGTTTCAACCCAAATAAATCAAAGTAACTGGTAATTTGCTTGCTTTTGTAGAACATGAGTGTATGCTGAGGTAATGAATCTGTTGAATTATCTGTATTAGGGCAGGGATACGTCTAAAGCAGGGGTCTTTATTCCTGGTCCAGCATGTTTTAGGTGTTCCTACCTCCATACACCTGACTTAGATAAATGGGTGATTAACAGGTCCCTTCAGCCCTTGGAGGCTGATGAGGTGGAAATGCAGTCATTTGACTCAGGTGTGCTCAAGCAGAGATGCATCTAAGGCTACGTTCACACCTCAGCCTGAAGTGACCCAAATCCGATTTTTTGGCCCATATGCGCTCTGGATCTGATCTTTTCATGGCAGTCTGAACAACACAGATCCAATTTTTTCCAATGCAACCCAGGCCACTTGGCTATGTGGTCCTGAATCCAATACGAATCAGATCTTTTCAAATGCGACCTGTGTCTGAACGGCCAGGTCACATTCATTCGACCTGAACGCCGTTAATACCCGACATAGGTCACTATTCTGCATCTTGCTACACATAAGCTGCAAGAAAAAACAAACACCATGGTGGACGATGATGGGGAGAGCAGTCATTTTTTTTTACTATTTTGAAAAGATTGAGGTTTTAAGGTTTGGAAAGATCGCTAGATGCGCTCCAGCACTGCATCCATGTTTACTTCTGCAAACAAGAAGCATGCTGGCTTGTAATGTCATTGCATCCTCTAGTGTGCATGCAGGACACATAAGCTGTATGAATGCAGTTTACACAGGAGATCACATACAACTTGCATATATATGGAAATGTAAACGGCAACGCAAAAAAATACGATTTCACAAAAAAATCGGAATTGAGCATCAAGTCCTGCAGCGTGAACGTAGCCTAAAGCATGCAGGACAGTGGGCCCAGAGAACCACGGATGAAGGCCATTGATGAAGCATACAGGAGAACAGCCTTTGAGGTCTGGTACAACGTGGTACAAAACTGCAAAGGGAAAATGATACAGTACATAATTTTCAAGTTAAAAGCCTGAAAAGGCCAGGTCCGCTTTTACTCTGATACCCTTGGATTGAATTCAGTGCAACCCAATGTCCTTAGCCTGGGTGCCATTCCGAACTTAGTCCCGCCCACAAGGTTTGAGGTTGGGAAGTTCGGTCTGGCTCTGCTCCATAGTAGCGCGAGTATGATCGCCCACCCTCTGGCGATCCAATCAAATTGTCAGGGCGGGCTTTATACGATGATGGACAGATGATCAACAGTAACGTACTGTAATCAACCACGTGACCAAAGCGCGCTTGGGCGACAACAACAATGGCTGCCGCCGGAGAGTTGAGGTGAGTAGATTCTGCTATTAGGTCTGTTCTAGAAGATATCGACAGCAAATTAATTTTAAAAGAGGAAAAGAGAAACGCGATCACGGCTAATCTTCTTATTCCAGGCGCGCAACTGCACGCTTTGATTTTTGTTGACAACAGCTATGCTTGGCTTAACATACGTCACGCACTCCGTTGCTCTTATTGGTTGTAGATCTATCCAATTGAGTGCAGAGGCATTTTTTTTCCTGGTCCGTTCAAAACACGCCCCATAATCACAGCTCTATGGAGCAGTATCAGACTCATATTCTGACTGGGATTGAGTAGGACTACGTCAGGCTACAATGTCCTTAGAAGTTACCTAAATAGAAGACCTCATTAGGTTTGTTACTTCATGTTACGTTTCCATTAACCATCAAATTGTAGTTTAGACAATAAATTTGCTAAATGGAAATCTTAAATAGTTTTTCAATAAAAAGCTTTTATGTTTTGATGAGGTGCTTTTCCGGTCCTATCCAATTGTTATAATTCACTGCGATGAAAATAAAGCAACTGCAATGAAAACACTTTTTTTCCCGCATCACACGAGTCACGTCATCTGCAACTGGACCTTACTGCCTTGTAAAAAGAGGAAGAAGACTGGAAATAGTTAGAGGATGGTGGCAGCCACTAGAAATGTGGATGTATCTCATATGTTTACATTCCGCACTGCCATGTTGTTTTCAGTTATCGCGTGAACAAGTGTATTCACGTGCAATTTTGATGTATTTGCTATTTAATGAAAATAGCACAATTGCAGAACTTTGAATTTTGGTATTTAGCAGAATACAGACAGAGTTTTGCACATATTTGTAATTGAAACATGGCTAGATCCACATGCTTTGTGAAACTACAGAGCTTTATCAGAGAATATCAATAAACACAGCAAAACGGATAAAGTTGTATTGGTTTAAATATGTGTTAGGGTGTAAAATAAAACCCTGATCTTTAGATATCTGACATAGTAATGTTTCATCTTCATTCGAAATTAAGGATGTGTTGCATTGAGTTGGTCTATCACATTAAATTATGATATATTTAGTTTTGAACGGTCACTGAATCACCTGAAACATTTGTCATTAAAAGATATAAAGCAGAATTTGTACTTCTTTGGGGATTATGTTCAAAGACATTAAGAAAGGTGAGACAAACAGGATTATCACACATTTGATACAAAACAAGGTGCATGCAAAGTTAATTAAATGCTGTAATTTTGATCAACAGATAATTTATAATCTGTTGTAAGTTTTGTAACATTTCATAAAGAAAATGGCATTTCATTTTATAATTTGTATTTCTCTCCTGGGTGCAAGAGATGGCCAAAAAAACAAAAACAAATCTATGGATTCTTTTATTTTATGTCTTTTCTACAGTCACCTCCTTTCGTTTTTAAGTTGAGTTGGTAATGCTCACATGGTTTAATTTAGGGCCAGCACTTTAAAACACTTTAAAGTCACTTTCCTGGAGAGTAAAAAAAAAAAAAAAAAAAAAAAAAAAAAAAAAAATCCAAATATGTTTCATATTACTATTTTACACCCTATGTGCAACAAAATAAATCCCTGCTTTGTTAACTACACAAGATAGTTCCTTTGTAACTTCTTGCCAATAGCACAAACACAATGTTAACTTCTAATATTTGCCTTGCAAATGAGACACGGAGAATCGGAGCCGAAAGTTCTGGCAAATTTTATGACTCGTACTAACCCTGCACCCTTACACTTCTTTTGGAAAACCTTTGGAAAAAACGATCAAACCCATTTTTTTCACCTTTTCATGTAACCCAGCTTTGTTTCACAAGCATAAGAAAAAAACAAACAAAATATTTTCTAGTAGTTACTGTCCATTGTGTTTCTTGTAAAAGTTTTATTCAAGCGGTTTTTAGTTTTTCCGTCCAATTGGCAACCATCACCTCAGATACCAGCAGCAATATTGTTAATGTAATTTATGGCAACACAAAACAAAGAGCCGCCTGTCACTTCACTTTCATTATTCTATGCTGTTTCATATATATATATATATTTTTATCATTGTTGTTCTAAGAGATATTACCTTAACCCGAATTTAATTTCTCTATCATGATTCACTCATCTGTCACCCCTATCAATGTTTACCAGGAAGGACAATATTATACCAATACAAATATATTGTTTCTTTTTTTATCTCTCTGTTACCGCTGGACTTCATGTTGTTTCTTTTCCTCCTTGAGTTTTAACAAACTGTGATGGGGTCTGATGTCAAGAATAAATTGAGCAATAAAGAAGAAATATGGTAACTAAAAGTAATGATGAACTTCATCTTCCATCACTGTTTTTTCCAAGTCAAAAAAATCCCATTTTTGACTTGCTTCTGGTGAGTTTGGACTGCTTGCTTTTGCCAATTCCTCATGTACTCAGAAGTGTACTTTTAGAAACAGGGTGTTTTGACTGCCACATTTTGCAGGTATCAACGTGAAAAGATAAATTTATTCTAAACAAGATGTTCTGGAAAGCATTTCTGTATGCAATAGTTCTCTTGTGTGTGAATGTCAATTTTTAGGAAAGAATACATATCAACAGATTTACTAGGTGGTCTTTTGACCTCAGGACTTGCAAACCGCAGCTTCTGTTAACTTATGAAATCCAAAGTCAGAACTCTCGGAATTATTTTCCATTTATTTTATAACAGCTTTCTTTCTACAATATGGCATAGAATAAAAAAAAAGGTACATATATTTGGAAGTTTGATGCCTTTCAATAATTCATATAAATTTAACAGCTCATTAAGGAGGGGAAAATGCTTTGTTGCTCCCAATTTCCAAATTTTTAGTATAAAAATAAATAAGGGTAAAAATACTAATTACACTCATTAAAACACAGGTGAAAAAAGTCATTTTAACAAACATTATTAGTACAACTGTTTGAATGTTTGTTGTTTGTTTAACGTCTTTTAACTTTCATGAACAGAGATTATAAGGAATAATTGACTCACTCATCCATATGATTACATTCAAGTGTTCCAGTACCTTAGACAGCGTCAGCTGTATTCAATTAGGCACATAAGTATGCATTCTGCCTTTACATACCATCTATCTAATGCAATTGTCATACAATTGTCCCACTTGTAAGAATTGCATTTATCTGGTAGTGCTATTATTATAAAGCTGAAGAGATTGGAAACTCAATCCTGAAGATGCAGGCTGTGCAAGATTGTCAAGCAAATGGAGGCAGAGGCTGAGGCTCATAGTACATGTAAATAGAGGTTGCTAATTATCTGAGGAATCTGTAGTTACCAAGCTTTATCTGACCGTAATTTTTATTTATTATTTTTTGTCTCATTTAAAATCCTAAGTGTTCATCTTTCAATCTTAGGCTTTCTATCCCTTGATTTGAAGTGAAAAAGTCACTAACCCCAAATTTCCCTTGTTTTTATATAGACTTGAGTTAATCACATTTTTGACCCATGGGTTTGCCAAATTTTAAAACGTATTTGCATGATCTGAATTTATGTTGCTTATGAACCATTTCTTGTGTGTGTGACAGGTTGGCTCAGCAGTGCCAGCGTGTATTTCATGTCATCTTTATTTGACAAGGACAATGCAAACAAATATAGTGACAAAACAAGGCAAGTGACTTAAGTGCTGCACATAAAGTTTATAACTAAAGCTAATTTTCAACTCCTATGCCCGGTTGGACTTTTATATACAGTTAAATTTAAATACACTTGGCCTACTTGTTATAGAAAACAAAATAAAATAAAAAAACAATCAAAATGTAGAACATATGTCTTATATACAACCCTTACCTAGTTAAAATAAGTAAAAGTGAGTGATTTGTCTTTAACTAGTTTTTGAGACTGGCAGTGAACATTTTAAAATCAGCTACAGTCTTGATGTTAGATGGTAAAGAGTTTCAGAGCTTAGAGCCCTAAACAGTGAAGGCTGTCTGTCCAAAGGTGGTCTTCCAGTATCACATTTTACAATCATAATTTGAGCAGCTACTAGTAACCTACGATTAACAGTATGGAATGCGGTTTTTAGGTCAGTAAATACACCACCACATTGCCTTTGTCCAGAGACATTTTTTATGCATTCCATTAAACAGCAATTTGCTATTTCAGTTGAATAGCCTGATGCGGTTTTGGTTCTGCCGCACTGCTGCCTTGCAGCAAGAAATTTGCGGTTCAATTCCAGGTCCGTGGTCTTTCTGCATGGAGTTTATATGTTCTCGCTGTGGATGCGTGGATTCTCCCAGGGTACTACAGCTTCCTCCCACAGTACAAAACCATGACTGTTAAATTAATTAGCTTCTCTAAATTCTCCTGTGAGTGTGAGTGTGTGCGTGAGTGGTTGTTTGTCCTGTTTGTCTCTGTGTTGCCCTGCGACAGATTGGCGACCTGTCCAGTGTGTACTCATTCTCTCGCCCGTAGACAGCTGGAGATAGGCATCAGCACCCCTCGCGACCCCACTTGGGATAAGCATGACAGAAAATGGATGGATGTGTTTTGGTTCTAATAAAGGTGATCTATGATTAATATTTGTTAAAGTTAAATTAAATGTTTGAGAGGCATTAGGATGAAATCTAGTATCAACACCTCAGTCTTCATCTGTGCCAACACCTCAGTCTTCATCTGTGCCACCCTTCTCTACAAAACCTGTGTAACCATATGGATGGGTCAGAGTTTGGGTGAGGGACTGTATATTTCCACGCTTTTGGGCATTAGCAAGTTTCAGGCCCTGTTTTTTTGTTGACCC